CTAATTTTATATTCTTTTGTTGTTAGAGTTCTAAAGGTACCCAGTACATTTTGTACCAGGCTGTATTTTGCATTTAAAGTACATTTCAATTTGGTTGCTATTTATTTTTATTGTACTAAAAAACAGATAACAGTAAATTTAACAGCCTAACCATTTTTAAGCATTAAGTTCAGTAGTTAATTATATTTGAATTGTTTTGCAACAGATCTCTAGAACTTTTTCATCCTGAAAATCTGAAATTCTCTACCCATTAAATACAAATTCTCTATCCTCCCTCCCTCTTGCTCTTGGCAACCACCTTTCTACTTTCTGTTTCTATGGTTTTGACTATTTGAGATATTTCATATGGGTGGACTTACACAGTATGTGTCCTTTCTGACTGGTTTATTTTGCTAAACATAATGTCCTTCAGATTCATCCATGTGGTATCATGCAACAGAATTTCCTTTTTTTTAAGTTTTCATAATATTCTATTGTATGTAAGTACTACATTTTCTTTATCCACTCATTTGTCAGTGGATATCTGAGTTGCTTCCATGTCTTGGCAATTGGGAATAATGCTGCAATACATATGGGTATGCGAATAACTCTTTGAAAACTTACTTTGAGAGATTTGCTTTTAATAATGAACTTTTGTAAAATTAACCGAAAGAATTAAGAAAATTCAGTCAACAAAAATTTACTAGAAAAATTAACTCATTTTAGTAAAGACAAACATCTTTTGAGAATATGAATAAATTTCAGCATAGAGATTTAAAGCTTAGACTTGTAAGTTATATTTTAAAAAAGAGATGAAGAGGCCTAACTGATATTTAACTTCAAAATAATTTATAACCAATGATCTGCCCAAAAACATCCAGACCATCTCCTGTATTATAAAAAAACCAATTTAAAAGCCTGCCTGGGTAGAAACATTTTATCTGAAATGAGCTTTCAATGCGCATGGTCGAACACAATCTCTGGGCAAGTAACTGCTCATGCTCCTTTTTGAAAAGCTGTAATAGTTTTACATTTTCCACTGTGTTAAACACACCATGCAGTTAATACTGTTTAATATAGTAATTATATGGCAATAAATGTATTTGTCTGATTGGCTACAGTAGCTGGTAACTGAATATCCTTAGAAAAATGATTGTATTAGACACACTATTAGTAAATAAACCTCATTAAAAAGCAACAACATATAGACAGGTGGTGTATAAAGTTAATATACTCCACTAAATTTTATTCACACATACACCAGAATTCAGCACAACTAAATATTAACTAATTAGCACTGATATTTTTCAATATCAAAAGTGAATTATCTTCCAAGAAAGCTTTCTACATGTATGGCTACCTTATACCTCTTATTAGTAGAACTTAATTTCATTGAAATAAACATCATGGAAATAAAATATTTTTTCAAAACTTATAGAACCTATGGTAAAAACATTAAATGAAAAAACAAAGAAAGTGGCACAGGTCAGCTAACAAAAATAACTTTAGACTTAATCCTTCTAAGAATTTGCTCTGTGATCTTGAGAAAGTTATATTAACCTTGCGCTCCATCTGCTTCCATTAAGTGAAACAGGCTATTCAAACTAGCTAATATCAATGAATGAGACCCATCTTGCAAATCAATTTAGAAAAAGTGTAAGTTAGATCTCTGCCTCACACCATACAAAAAAAAGAGTACCAGTTCAATTAAAGGTGGAAATGTAAAAATAAAGCAGAAAAACTAAGGATATTTTATTATGTTAGGTAGGGTGGGGAAAACTTCTCTAAGCAAGCATAAAACACAGACACCATAAAGGCTGACTGATTTTACTACATAAACATTTAAAAGTGTATTGGTATGAAAGATACCCCAATGTTAAAAGGACTGGGAGAAAATATTTTAAACATCTCAACAGACAAAGGTTAACATCTATATTTTATAAAGGGTTCCCACATAACTATCAAAATAAACAATCCAATAGAAAAATGGGAATAATATGTAAATAGGTAGTACACAAGATAAAAATCGATGGTCAATAAACTAACAAAAGATACACCATCTTATTAGTAAGCAAAAAAGCGCAAATTAAAACAATATTAGAGTGGCAAAAATCTGAAGATAAATAATTTTATTGTCATCAAAAATGTAGAGAAATGGGCACTCCCACACACTGGTGACATAAACACTGACATAGCTTTTCTGGAAGGTAATTTGATAGCAGCTGCCTCCATGTAAAAACTACATGTCCACAAGCCAAACAGCTCCATCTAAAAAAACTGGTTCTACAGAATAATATCTGCGTATAAAGATGTAAGAATAAGGATGTTCAATAAAATACTATTTGTAATAATCAAAGAAATAACAATGGTCAAAATATCTATTAGAGAAGAATGATTATAGTAGATAGAGTCAACAGAATGTTTTGCAGATGTTTAATGAAATAGACTGAAAGTTGTCAAATTTAAAAAGCTTGTTTCAAAAAAGTATGTCAGAAAAAAATCTACCTTTTAAAAAATATTTTATTTATTTTTAGAGAGAGGGGAAGGGAGAGAAAAAGAGAGGGAGAGAAACATCAATGTGAGAGGACTGACTGTTGGCCTCCCACACGCACCCAGGCTGGGGACCAAACCTGCAACACAAGCATGTGTCCTGAATGGGAATCAAACTTGTTGTGGCCTTTTGCTTTGCAGGAGGACACGCAGCAAACTGAGCCACACCAGTCAGGGCATAGTTGTTTTAAATATACAGAAAATATTTAGGAAGATTAGGAGGGGAATTAGTGTAAAAGAAGAATCTTACTTTTATTAAATTCACATTTACTACTTAAATGTTTTATGACAATCATGTACCACTTTATAATTAAAAAAATAAAAGAATGAATGGGAATTTCATTAAGTCATTCAGCAACGTGTCACTTTCAGGATCTACAATTTCTCTGTTTCAAGAAATACAGTTCAGGATTCAATCATCCTTTGCTGACTAGAGTTCTGAGATACAAAAAAAAAAAAAAGTTATTTCTGTTGACTCAAACAAGAATGCAGCACCTCTGCTCCCCATTCCCACAGAAGAGATGGGTAGGTCTACAGGAAAAATGCCTACTGAAAAGATTCAGTTCTGCTTTATTATTTTGATGTATGATAGCAGATGAAGCCCAGAAAAAGAAAAAGAAAAACAAAACAGGATTCATCTGTGAAAAGGCAGAATTAGACTTGTAAATACAAAACAAGGGAGAATGGTAAGGATCACAACACATGATGTTTCAGGTCCGCTGGGGCTGTATGAAGCTCTCCAAAAGAAGTGCAGTTGGTAGAACACAAAACTTGTGGGAGAATCTGCCCCAGCGATGTTTCCTGAATACCTAAAGCAGCTGATTCAGGAGAGAGGTTACTGGAGCAGGTTTTTAAAGATAAAGACCGGTTTGCTTGAGAAATGGATACCCTCTAGAGAACAGAACTTTCATCTGTGTTTTAAAAATAGGCTTAATGCCATTTTCATTGTTTCCCCTACCTCCCTCTTATCCATGAGACTTTGATCTTGACAACTGCATTTTGCTAACCACAGTACTTTTCAGGAACATAGCTCCCAAGGTTGGCAAAGAATTTGGGTTTAAGAAGATATTATAAAATGCTTTAAAGTCAGAAAGATCTGGGTTCAAATACTAGCTTCCATTTCAAGCTCCATTACCAGGGACAAGTTACCTACCCTGATTTCTCAATTAAATGGAGACACTGTAACGAGCAAAGAACTTGGTGCACACAAAACACTTGTCAAATGGGAGTTATGATTTTTAGGGTTTGAAGACTTCTGACCAGAGTGTAGGGGTGGGGAGTAGGCAAAGTGGCAGAAGGAAGCACCTGAAGTGTTGCTGTAATTCCACTGGGACTGGATGTTTGGCATTCTAATTTGCTAATGATGAATTGATTCCATCAGCCCATGCATTTGACAAAACACACCAAAGTTAGGATTTATATTGTAAGCTATTTTTAAAACTGCCTGGTTAGTAAATTAAACCAGCTGTGAAAATATCCTGGTTTCCATTCACAATAAATATGAGATGAACATTCTCCTATAATGATCCTGGCCACGTGGCAGTATAGCTATTCTGAATAATTCATTCCTAAGGATTTCAGAGACATCCTTTGATTTGTTTTCATAAGACAAATCAAAGCTAAACTATTTTCTAGGAAATGAAAAAAGGCAAGAGAAAGGAATTTCTCTCTACAGATTTAGTAAATTCCATGAATCACCGAACCATTCAACTTAAAAGACTACTGTCTGAATAAAAAATAGTAGTCATGCCTGTCCTTTAAGCCAGCCTTAACTGTTTTTATTTAGAAGGACATATGAAACATCAGTATGCTCTCAATTTTTCAAGTTCTGTGACAAAGGGCAAAAAAAATCTACTCTCTGCCACCAAAATGCTACCCAGATAATTCCAATTTCAGATTTAACACTTAATCACTTTTTGAGTCAGGAAGGGAGAGATCCTGAATTATTTAGAATGCTGGCTAGGTTACATTATTTATAATTCCCATTCCTTTAGGGAAACAATTTATGATTTAAACAAAGATCAGAAGTATAAATAACTCAATAGAATAGAATGTCAGGAAGTACTATTCAAATAAATTCACACTTGGAATGCAGGAAAACAGCCTATTAATTTCGTCACTTCATAAAGACATTGCTAAGAAAAGGATATACAATTTTATGCTTTCTTTGGAAATCAACCAGACTGAAATTAGTTCCATTTGGAACATCCTGAGCCTTAAAGCCTTTGCTAAAGTGTAACATAAATTTTGATTAGTCAAGTATGAAAAAATACAAAGCCAACTTTCTTGTCCCTCCAGTTAGTCTGTCTATAAATAGAAGCAGTGCATTAACAGCCACCAAAGCAACTGGTGAGCTGGTGTTCCACAATGTGCCCAACATATACATCCCTGCAAACATGCTCTCAGCATGTTTAACCAAAGTGCTTCTGGAGATCTGTAATAAGATCCTTTTTAAATAAAGTGTGACTCACTGTTTGCTTTCTTCACCAGGAGGTGGAGTCTTGCCATGTCCTTCCATTACAAAATCCTCCTGTTCCACCTGCAAAGACAAGTACCACAGGTCAGCAGCAGCCAGTAACTATGATGTAACGCACTCCAAAGTGCCGAGGCCTGCGCTTGCAGACCACATGGCTATTTCACTAGAGTGCCTAGTTACAGAAGCCTGGCCAATGGTTTCACTCTCTAGGTTTGCTCAAAGCATCTCTCCTTGGGTTTCCAGATTTGCAGAATAAAAAAGGAAGCATGTTTATTTGTAACGCATATTACTGTGAAAAAGTATTAAAGTATAATAAAAAATTGCTGTGAATCAATAAAAAAAAGACAACCTACCAGAAAAATTTACAAAACAACTGAGTAGGAATTTCACTGGAGAGGACACAGAAATAGCCCTAACTGTATGAAAAGATGTTCAGTTTCATGTCAATCAGAAAAATACAAATTAAAACCACAAAGACTTTTAATTTAATTTAGTTCACAACTACCAGGTTGGTTAAAATTAAAGAGCTGGGCAACACCAATGTTGGCAAAGGTGCAGAGCAACAGCAACTCTCATTCACTCCTGGTGGGCGGCACCACCACTTTTACAAAATTTGCCATTATGTAGTCCACTTAAATGTGTAATTACTATACAAACTAGTAGTTGCACTTCTAGGTATATAAACCAGAGAAACTTTTGCACATACACAACATTATTATTACTGGTTGGGTGGCTCTGCTGGTTGGAGCATCAGCCTATGCACCAAAAAGTTGTGGGTTCAATCCCCAGTCAGGGTGTGTATGTGATACAACCAACTGATTTTCTGTTTCACATTGATGTTTCTCTCTCTCTCCCCCCCTTTCCCTCCTTCTTCTCTCTTTAAAAATCAATAAAAACATATCTTCAGGTCAATATTTAAAAAAATATTTTAGTAACATTATTTTTAACAAAAAAATACTGAGACAAACATCCATAGACAGTTAAACAGTTAAAGAGGTAATGGTGTTTGCAGAAAACAATATTATCCTCCATGAAAATGAACTAGAGCAACACATTTCAACCTAGATGAGTTACAAAAACACAATACTGGGTGAAAGAAGCAAGTCACAAAAGAATATGTTTACAGTATAATTTCATTAATATACAGTTCAAATACATACATCTTAAAATCGCACATAAGTGTTTATATAGGCATCAATGTCTATAGTTTATAATACCATAAAGCAAAGGGAGTGATTATAGAATTTAGGCTAGTAAATGTCTGAGGGAGGGAGGGAATTTGATCAGGAAGGGGCACAGGGAGGGTTCTGGGGTATGGTTATATTGTATTTCTTGGCCAACACACAGAGCTTGTTTGGTGAATCTTCATCCTCATTACATTTTCTGGACGACAGCACCTGGATATGGTAGGACATTCCTTATTCCTCTGGCCCAGGCAGCTTTGTTGACCTGGTGTCAATGTGTACATCTAGAGTTCTCACCTCTTTCATAGCAAATTTCCAGATCTCTTTGAGTGCCCAAGGGGCGCGCTTCTTGAAACCTACTCCATGGATGTGCTTGTGAATGCTGATGGTGTGTTCTCTGATCACTACCTCATTGGTGGCAGAAAGGCCTTCTTCCTCTCATTGCCCTCCTTTGTGGGAGCCATTATGCCAGGCCCAAAGTTGGAAAGCCAGGTTTTGACTTTTACTCTTCTCTTACAGGCTTCTGATTCATTAGCTTACAGGGCTTTGCCAGGGAGAGGGCGGATTCTCCCATCCTCAGTTTACACAGTGATCTACAACCTCTGGAATAAAAACTAGGAGTACAATGTTCCAAGGGAACTTATGAGGAGCTAGAGATGATCTGGATCTGGATTGTGGTTATAAGGATGTACACATTCATGAAAAAAATCACTGAGCTGTGCATTTGATGCACTTAATTGTACAAGTGTTATGCTTTAATTAGAACAAAAATGATAAACTGTTTAAATTGTTACTTGAAACCTCAAGCCTAAATCATCTCTTCAAAGACATTTATAATATATTATAAAATATTCTTGATTTTTCATCTTTAACAATCCTCTCCAATTAAAGAGCTGTAAATTGTGGACCTTAGCCTCTGCTTACCAGTTTAAACAAACAAACAAACAAAAAGCTTTATCTGTAATCAGTATCTAGTTAGCACAATAATGATGAGAAGAAATAATCAGAAAGCCCACCACTTTAATAATCTCAATACACTGGTTTCCAAATTTTCAACTCCAGCCCTCTTTTGCATACAGGTCTTGTCCACTTGGATGGCCCAACAGGGCTACAATAAAACACCATCTTGTCTCAAGTTTCCTCTCCTTTCTATATCCTCTACCTCTGTGAATGGTAGCGGCACTCACTAAGATCCACACATGAAACCCATAATCATATAAGATTCTTCATTTTCCTTCCTTAATCCCATGCATTCTATTAATCACAAAGTACCATGGCTTTTACCTCCTAAATAGCTCTCATATCTGTCACCTCTTTGAATCCCTTTTAACTGCCATAGCTAAAGCCAGCTTCCCTAAATCTCTCTCCTATAAAAGCTTTCTCACTGGTCTTTGCGCTTCTGGGTCCCATCTAATTTCAATCCATCTTCTAAACCACTTCCATGAAGTAGATCTGGTAAACTGCAAATCTGATTACATCCCTCTCCTTGAAATTCTTCAATGGCACACTATTACCTATCCTGAGGGATAGTTCAGTTCATTTGCTTATGTGATCTTTTTTTTATCTGCCCTTCCTCACTCACCCATGAAGCACACATCAACTCCTCCACCCTCTCTGGCTTACATAGGAGGTCTGTCTGGAAAAACTCCAGCCATTGCTAATATAATGAGAATGGTTTGCATGACATCAATGTAACCTGACAGCCAAGGAGGGTGGACTGGAATGTGCATGTGTGAACAATGACCACTTCACTGTACTAGTCAGTGGGATGGCAGACGCTATTGAGTGAGCATGTGTCCTGTGTGGCCATTGCATTCAAAATGACTAAGAGAGTAGAGTAACAAATCTGCATCAAATTTTGCGTTAAGCCTTACCATTCTTCTGCAGAAACTATTCAGGTGATTCAGAAGGCTGCAGCTATGGGCAACTGGTGACGGGCAACTTCATCGTGACAAAGTGCCAACTCACACATCACACCTCATGTAGTTTTCTGGCAAAACATCAAATCACCCAAGTGACTCAGCCCCCCTACAGCCCAGATTTGGTGCCCTGCAACTTCTGTCTTTTCACAAAACTAAAATCACCTTTGAAAGGAAAGAGATTTCAGACCATTGATGAGATTCAGGAAAAAACAATGAAGCAGCTCATGGTGGGGGCTTGGGAAAACTGTATGAGGTCCCAACCTGCCTACTTTGAAGAGAACTGAAGCATCATTGTCCTATGTACAATGTTACTTGTATCTTCTTCAATAAATGTCTCTATTCTTTCATATTACACGGCTGGATACCTTCTTAACACACCTTGTATAATGTTCCCTCTTGCCTAGAAACCCTGGTCTTTCACAGCACATACACTTCAAATTCCTACTCATTCCTTTAGGTGCCAATGTTAATGATTTTTCCCAAAAGACACTATCTCCTTCACCAGGGTTCCTACCTTTTCTTGCTCTCTATCATTTTGGAAGGCAATAAAAAAAACTGTACAGAAAGATTACTGGTCCTTTTTTGCCACTTCTTGTTTTTCTCAAGTCCACTCTCAGTGTCTGCATCCTTACTTATTTTTTTCTACAAATTTCTTGAACAATTTTGCACTTAGTTTAATGACCTCTGCCACTCCTCCTTCTTGACTTTGTCTTCAGAAGTTTCAGTATTTTTACTTTATTGAATTTATTGGGGTGACAATGGTTAACAAAATTATATAGGTTGCAGGTGTGGAATTCTGTGACACATCATCTATGTATCGTATTGTGTGTTCACAACCCCAAGTCAGGTCTCCTTACATGGCCATTTATCCAGAAGTTTCAGTATTTGTATTCATAAAACACCATATCCTCACCTTTCTTCCACTACTATTCATTCATTCAACAAATATTTACTGAGTACATATTACATGCTAGGAGCTATGCTGAGATAATAGTGAAGAAGACGGTTTTCGCGATAAAAAAACTTAAGAGATTAATGGGAAAGACAAACAAAACGGGTCAATTACAGTATAGTGTGAGAAAGCAATGAAACAACAGGAAGTGCACTTAACTCCATCCATCTGAAGTAAATCAAATACTCTGCACCTATTTTAAACAGGTGACCATCTCCTCCCCGCTTTAGCTAGGAAATGGGAAGGACCTGGGGCTGAGCCTCACCATCAGTCTGTGCTGCTGCACACCCAGGTACATGAATTCTGAAATCTCACACCACATGCACCTCTTCCACTCCCACCCTCCGCTTGAACTTTTAAGGAGTTCCTCATACTAACTTTTAGTGTGCAGTTCTTTTTTCTCAGACTCCATTCACAGCCTCGCTTGAAAGGCACAGTATAGTCAAATTTCCATTCCTGTACAACTTTTTGTTTTCCCTGGAACTAACAATTACCACTTCCTCTTTCTTTTACTTTCTCCATTTTTTTAGCTTAATATTTATTATGTATTTTTCACGAATTCATCCTCAAAGTCTCCAACAGAGCTGTAAATCTCCTTTAAGTCAGTTCAAACACTTCAGGTAATCTATCAATTTCATTCAGTCTTGGAGACTGCCCTCAAGGGTTTTCCCTTGTTCCAGTCTAGATTGTTTGCTCTTTAGGCTGCTAAATGCCTGACACCTTGCCAGGGATGTCTCTTCCCCTAAATCTCTGGAATTCCATGCTCGCTCTCCTCTGCTGGAGCATCTGTTTCCCAGATCCTTTGTCTCTCTCTTTTACAGTTACTCCCTGGTTTAGGTGGAGCATGTAACCTAGTACCTTCCTAATAAAAGGTACAAGGGAAGTGAATTTTTGAGATCTTGAATGACTGGAATGTCCTTATTTTATCCATACATATTACTGACATGTACAATTTTTTTTTACCGACATAATTGACTATAGATGTTTAAGTTAGCAAACATTTTT